GGGAGCGCCGGGCCGAGGCCGGGCTCAGCGAGGACACGGCAGGGCAACCTGTCGCGGGGCGCGGCCACCGCGAGAAACGTCCAGCGCGTCTTGGTCCCTGCTCGCTCGGGGACTCGGGCGAGCAGCTGCCCCTCGACTCGGTTTCCGCTGGCCAAACGCTGATGGCAACAGGGGGTCCCTCAAGAGCTTGCGCGGGGACAGGAGCCGCGGGCCCCGCACAGCGCTGCGCAGCGGGCTCAGTGTACGGCCGGGCGCGAAAACCGCGCTCCCGCCTACCCGCAGGCCCTCGGACCTTTCTCACCTCACACTCCGGCTCCCGGACTCACCCACCTCACGGCCCCTCCTACCACAACGGCCGGCCCAGCCTCCGCCGGCCTCACTTCCGCTGACCCGCCCCCGGAAGTGATCGTCCGCAGCTGCGCACGGAGTGCCCTCAGGAGGCGGGCCCAGCTGGGGGGCGGAGCAGAAGGGCACGCCCTCCCCGATGCCACGCCCCCGTGGATGTCTGCCTGCCTGGAGAAAGGACTGAAGGAACCAGAGATCACTGAGCGTCACGCCGCTTCCACGCTTCATTGTTGCCCTCCCCGAAATGAAGCTTGTATTGCTGCTCAGCCATAAAATAGGGGTGCTGTCCCCATCCTTATGCAAATGTATACTGACCATTCTTCGGATCTGGCGTTTATCTCACCTGTCGTCCCTTCCTGGTTTCTTCTACAGTCATGCTTTGCAGCCAAGGCTCTCTACGAAGTCTCTCTCCAGCAAGAACGTGTTTGACCCATGCCTTCCAGCGCTTTGTAGCTTTCTTCTATCTTAGCCTTTGTCTGTCCGCCCTCCACCAGCAGTATATTCAGTTTGCTGATTAAAGGGTTAGATGGTACCGGGGGAGATCCACATCCCCTCCACTCCCTGTGCTTAAACCTTCACCGTCCCGTCTCCGTGGCATTTCTAGGCCACATTTCCTCCTCTGCCCTCATCACATGGCTTGTCTGGCTCCCAGGCTGCAGTCCTCATCTGCCAGGGATGGATGGCCTCATAGATGAACAGTGTGTGTAGTCACAACAGGCCCCACACCCAGTATTCCATACTTGGTGTACTGCCCTGCTGTTGCCCTCTTTAAATTATAGTCATGTGTGCCTTGTAACAACAATACACTCTGAGAAATGTATCCTTGGCTGATGCTACTGTGTGAACATCAGAGTGTACTCATACAAACTTAGGTGGTATAGCCTCCTATCCATCTACTGCTCCAGGTTACAAGCCCGTACAGTATGGTACAGTTTGGTACTGAATACTGTAGGCAATTGTAACAGTGGTAACTATTTGTACACCTAAATAGAAAAGGTACAGTAAAAGTATTAGGAGATATTTTTAGCTCCACTATAATCTGAGGGAACAACTGTCATATATGTGGTCCAGCACTGATCAAAAACACTGTTATATGTTGCTTAAAACAGGGCCTTTCATTGTACTTTCATTTCACACTGGGCCCCACAAGTTAGGTAACTTGTCTTAGCCAGCGATCTAGAGGTTAAATCATCCATCTTGGGCCCCACCATATTCAAATGATGAAGGCTGATTTCCAAGTCTAGCTCTCTGGGATGGAAAACTGTGCTTTAATTATCACTTCCCCTTCCTGGGCAACGGTGGAGCATGCAAATCCACTCTCCTGGGCATAGATGTTGTTTTGATGTCCCATTCAAGTTCCTTTGCAACAAGGAGAATGGAGCCTCCTAACCCAGGAATTTTCTCTGCTTCCCGAAGTCATTGTCCAATATAAGGTGCAAAAGGCTGTTCTGTTTGTAGTGTGCTTTATGCTCCAGAGCCTTTCCCTGTGGCTCAGGTCAGTGCTGAGCATTAATACTCAGTCTGTGCTCAGTGTTTTTCTTGCCCTCTTTTGCTTCAACACTTTTATAAATCTTTCCTAAAGTGCACTTCTCACGCCGGTCATGGTGGCACATGCCTGTAATCCCAGCACTCAGGAGGCTGAGGCAGGAGGATAGCTGTGAGTCTGAGATCATCCTGGGCTACAAAGTGAGCTCAAGGCCAGCCTGAACTGCAGAGCGAGACCCTGTCTCAAAAAGACAAAACAAACAAACAAACAAACAAACAAAAAACCCGAAAAACCAAACAAACAAAAGAACATAGTGCAAAGATCACCCAGTGCTTCTCTCGAGCTCTGCTTCTAAGACAATGCACTTAACTTTTGGATCTTTCTAGACACAGAGCAGCACATTCTCAAAAGAATAAATTCTGCCACTTGGTCGTCACAAACCTATGTTAGGCAAGTCACTCAAGTCCTCTGGTGACAGACAAGATAGATCTTGAAGACATCCCAGCCCAAATCTGCCCCGGCCACATTCCTCTGCCCAACTGCTAAGCCAGTCACAAAAGGGTAGGAAGTCAGACCAAAGAAGGAACAAACTGAAAGTACTGTTCAAAGGAAAAACAGTGACAGCTACCCTCCTTTCTCCAATTTTATTACAGGACGTGTTAGAGTTGGGGGAGGGAAGTGGCAAAGAGATGACAAAAGTGCAGCTGGCGACCTTCCCTGGCTGGGGATGGGCAGACGCATCAGATGAGGAGGACTCAGAAAGCTCAGCAGTCAGGGTTGCACTGGAGCCCAGGGTTGACTGATGGGGAGTCAGCCCTCCAGGGGCAGCCGGAGGGAGCTGGCTCAGCTGAGGGTGGGAGGCTCCAGGCCAACTGGTGAGGTACTGAGACACACTCGGGTGGCCTCCTTCCCTGGAAGAGGCAGGAAGTACCATCTCCCAGGGCGCAAAGAGCATGGCTGAGCTCAACGGCTCAGTCTATGTGGAGCTCAGAGGGGAATGAGGCATGATTTCCACTTCAGCGAAAACAAGGAAGGAGAGTGGTGGGGGTGTGGTGCCAAATGAAACACCCCAAAATCAAGACACAGGCTTGGGAGTTACATGTGGGTTTGAGTCTCAACTCTAGCACTCTGTGTGACCTTGGTCACTTTGCTTCCCTAAGACTCATCTCATCTGCAAAATGGGACCAGTCACCTACCTCACAAGTTGGTTGTGGGAATTAAATGCAAAACTACCTGTAACTTTAGCAAATGCCCCAGGCACAGAAGGCTCTTGGTAACCTGCTGCTATTGTTATACCTAATACCCAATGAAGAGCAGGACTGGTCAAGGCAAGCTCCACAGGGGACACCGAGGACGGCAGGGGGACTCAGAAGATGCAGGGACAGGTCTGCCTTCCTCCTCTGTTAGGTTTAAGATGCAGCCCCTGCTGGGATGAGGGGACGGGAGGAGTCAGGCATGAGGAGCACAGGCTTACCTCAAGGCCTTCATCGGAAAAAGCCCAAAGGTACCTTCCGGGCCTACGTGGACAGGATAGAGCTGCGGGTATGGTACGCTCATTCTGTGAAGACTGTTTTTAAAAATCTAGAAGAAGAGATGGAAGAGAGAATACTGCTTCCCATATGTGCAACTGCAAAGGCATCAAGCTAGATCCATCCAGGATTTCAGATCGAGCCATCATGGGGCTGCTGCTCGGGGAGCCATTGCTCTCTTCTTTCTCCTCAGCACTGCAGTTATAAAAAATAGCTACAAACTGTGAGAAAGTTCACATAAAAACACTTCTCTGCATGTATAAAAGACAGACTAGCCATGGTCAGTGGCTCAGGACATGGACGAAGGCCCCAAGAGTGGCCAAAGAGAGTTGGCAGGTGTCCCACGGGGGACAAGCTGGTCTGGGGTGCCCCTGGTGGCGGGGCCAGTGCTGACTCTGGTGCAGGCTCTTCTTTGTCTGGGTTGTACTTCCATGGAGTCAGGGACGGAGAAGGAGGTGTCAGGAAGCCCTGGTTCCCACAGTCCTCCTATGACCTCTGCTAGGGGAGGTGGCGGAAGTGCCCTGGCTCTGGGCCTGAGGGCCCCTCAGTGGGTTCTTCCTAATGGCAGAGGCCTACTTCCTGAGAGACCTCCCAGGCCCCGAAACAGGCTTGGGGGCCTGGCACAAGGCCCACTGAGCCATTTGGGAGCAGCTGTGGTACAGCGCTGTCCCTCACGGTCAGGGGGGGCTCTGCACACAGGCTCCAGAAGGCTGTCACCTACTGATCTTGACCCCGGCTGGGGACATCAGACAGGAGGGCAGCTGGGGTATGGCTAGCAAGAACAGCTCTATGTAAACAGAACAGCTGCTGGGCCCTTGGACGCCCTGGCTATGGCTCCTTCATGCTTTGTTCTGGAAAGAGTAAAAGATCTTGAGTAGCTTCCGGAGCCAGCTGAGTAGGGAAGGACTTGGGGGCCACAGAGATCACGGTTTATCCTCTGACAGCCCAAGCCCCTTCTGTCTAACCCCAGTCACCGAGGCAGAGCTGGGTGGCCACCCTCAGTTGACCTTGGACCCTGCGAGGCAGCTTAAGGTGAAGAGGGGTTAGGAGCTTCTCCAGTCTGAGATGGCTCAGGACCACGCAGCCGTGCTCCCAGCGGCCCAGCGACATATTAGGACTCAAGGAGGGGCAGGCCGCGGCGGAGTCCCTCCTTCAGGAACTGCATGTAGGTGGCTGTGGATGGGTCTTCAAAGGTGGATGAGAAGCTGAAGATGTTGTCCTCGATGTCCTCAGGCTTCATGGAGGTGATGTCCAGGAAGTAGTTGGCGTTGATGTGATGGACCTGGGAGAAGGGCTGGGTAAGGAGAGCTGGGAGGCCCCAGGCTTGCTGTCTGAGGAGAGGCAGCTCTCTCAGGCCTCCACAGTCCTCCCTCTGGGGGGCATGTGCCAGAACCTGACCCAGCCCAGGCCGTTCTGCCCCTGCTCACACAGGGCCCTCCTTCCCATCCTGTGTACTAGGCAGAAACCTAACATCTTTCATGTCACCTTTTCCCCTACCCCTGTTCCTCAAAATGGCCTCCCTGCTCTCTGTGGCTGTGACCTCTGAACTCCACTCTCACTTCTGTGAATGTCCAGCACACGATGGGCCCCTCTTCCCCATCCACCTTTGCTTCAGTCACTGGCAGCCTTGAGGCCAAAGCTGTGTCTTTATCTTTCTGTACAGAAACCCAAATGGTTGCCCGGAAAGTGAACAAGTGAGCGAGGGAATGAACGGGTGAACAGCCCACAGCTGAATGAGAGAAGCACGCTAGACAGAGTCTCCCAGGCATCTCCACAGCCCCGGCCTGTGCGGCCACCATAGGGCGGGAGCCAGTGATACCTGTGCGCTGCCCGGTCTCCCACCTCTGCTTCCTGGTTCTCCACCTCTCCAGGGCCCATTTTTCAGCCTCCTGCACCTGGGACAGCAGAAGCCTCCTGCCTGCTGCCTTTCCTCTCCCCAAGCTCTCCCTGAATGCTCTGGCCACCCAACCCAGCTCCTGCTCCTGCACTGCTCCCACCCTAAGCTGCAGAGGCAGCAGGCTGCCCTCCTGTGGCCCTGAGTCCCACGCCAACCACCCCTTGGGCTTATAGGGTAGGCCTGGCTTCCCTGTAGGACCTGCAGGTCCTGAGGCTCATGCGGGCCCATGGCAAAGCCAGCTGCATTTCTGCCTGCCAAGTGTCTGAATCCTTTGAGCCTCACTTTCCTTGTACGTAAAATGGGCATCAGTGATCACCCATCTCTTGAAGCTGTTGTGAGGACCCAGTGAGAGGATGTGGGTGAGGCTGGGAAAGGGGCCCCTCGGGAGAGGTAAGGTCTGGAAGCCTGGCTCTGGCCAGCCCCACCCCCAGCCCCTGTCTTCTCTGCCGGCCACAAGGTCCCACTCCTCCCTCCTGCCAACCCCGGGCTGGCTGGAATGGCCCTGGGAAAGCCTGCCTTCCAGGCCACGCCTCTGTCCACCGAGCAATCTGTCACACCTGCAGTCACACCGACCCTGCTACGGTGTGGTCTCCGGAGCGACGCTGGGGTTCTGCTTCTAGCGGGCGTGACCCAACACCTGCAGTGGCATTCCTAAGCTATCAACGGGGATAACCCGAGGAACCTGCTGTCTGTGTCCCTCGCTTGCTGCCCCCTGCACCCCACGGTGCCTACCACAGTGCCATTGGGCAGGCAGATCATCATCTCCACGGGGAAGCTGTACTTCTCCAGGTGCAGGCCCGCCAGCTGCCTGTGGGACGGGTTCTCCTGGTTGCTCTGTGGGGACAATCGGCACACTCCTGGTACCTCGGCCCTCAGCACTGGCCCAGAGCCCCTCAGGGGCCGTTCCCACGCACTCACCTGCAGGTCCTCCAGCTCCTTCACCAGGGACCACGTGCTGATGAAGCTCTCGTTGAGAAGGGTGAGGATGGGCGAACTTTCCAGGACAGTCTCCCGGAGAGTCCGCCCCGAACCTGTCCAGGGAGAGGCCGAGGCCAGAAGGTAAGGTACGCCAGAGGGTGAGGGGCCCCACATGTCTTACTGGGGCTTCCAATCAGCATCAGTCTTGCTTTGGGAAAAACTCATGTGCTGCAGTGTGGTCCCTGCACGCAGGTGAAATAACAGATTCAAATAACGCACAGCTTCCCGGGCTGAGATTTGGCGTGGCGGTTCTACCTGGCCCAGTCTTACTTGTGCCCCATCTGCCTCTGTCCCACTCTGGAGAATGCCAAGGCCTAGCCTACTGCCTGGTACAGCAGGCACCCAGAATGTTTGTGAAGACTGGACGAGGGCAGAGGCATTGTTTTACTTGTCTCTGAACCCACTGTTGGATGCCCAAAGAATTTTGCATCCAGCAGGTGTTTGGTGAATTTTCTGAATAAGAAATACAAGTCCAGCCTCTGGTACTGTTTTCTCTCACATTTGTGGCTATCATTTTACAGGGCACAAGGTCATTTCACATCCATTTTCACAGCTCTAGGAGGTAAGAATGTTAGCCCCGTCATTATTGAGAAAATAGGCTTAGGGAGCAGAAGTCACCAGGTTGAAAATGGCTGGGTGTGAACCCGGTCCACCAGGGGCCCTTTTTCTTCACCCAGCAGCTTCCTCTGAGCTCTGCACAGGACCCTCCAAGCCCTCACCCCCTGCTCCGCGGCTCCCACAGGAGGGCCCTGTCCATCTTCAGCCTCCTGTGCTCACAAGGTGTGAAGTCTCCCCTTTTTCCCCTTAGCGGTCGCCAGGCTCCCTCACCTCAGCAGGACTGGTCGTCCAGGGCCCCCCACAGCAGGATCGAGTGCACCAGCTTGTTCTCGGCCTTGGCTCGGTCGAAGGCCTCAGTGAATGGCAGGTAGGTGACCTGAGGTAGACAGAGCTTAGCTACTGTGTGTGGCTGGGGTCTTCTTTAGGGGCTGAGTACACATATATATGTAAGACTTTGTCCATGCATGCATGTAGGTACATATGTGTGCGTGCATGTTGGCGTGTGTGTGTGTGTGTGATGAATGTGGCTGAACCGGCTCCTCCTCTGCAGTCACAGTGGCATAGGGGCAGCACCCGTGACCCCACCAGCCCTGCACAAGCTCCAGTGCTGGCATCCACAGCTATTCCAACACTCCCAGGCTTGACCCGCAGAGCCCAGCCCCTGCCTCCCCTGGCCCGGCCTCACCTTCTTAAAAGGGTACATGGCCACCTCCAGGCGCCGGGCAGCCTCCTCCCAGCTCAGCTCCTGCTGCCACCTGATCTCTTCAAACACAAACTGGAGGGGCTCCTCCGAGGGCAGGCGACTGTCAATCATATTGCCATCCTCGTCCAGGATCACGGAGGGCACCGAAGGGCCTGTGGCCTCCAGCTCCATCTGGGCCAGAGGTCAGCGGTGAGGGGTGTGTCACAGATGGGCCCCGAGAGACCTTGAAGGATGCTCTACTCATTGGAGAGGTGAGGATGCTGAGGCCCAGGGAGAGCCGGGGGCCTGGGCAGGGTCCCGCTGTGGGCTCACCTGGGGTATGTAGCCGATGTCCACCTCCATGCTGCTGCTCTCACTGGCCCCGTACAGCCACTCCATGTCCACGTTCAGAGACCTGGAGAGGCCAGGGCAGAGCAACATCATCATCAAAGCCCGCTACCCATGTCACCTTCATCACAGTTCACGCGATCGCTGTCCCACCTGACAGATGAGGATGCGGAAGCTCTGCACAGTGCCCAGCTGCGCATTCTTGCCAGGCTGCCCCTTTCTGAGACACTGTAACAACAGCCGCTGGCCCAGCCTGGGACTGTTCACAAGGGCTCTCGCGGCATGTGTGCCCACGACCCTCTGGCGCACAGAGACGGTCAGTGCCTCCTTGCAGGAGACAGCATAGAGCAGGAGGGAAGACCAAGCCTTGCTCATGGGGTCCCTGCTCCTCTTTCCTCCAGTGGAGAGCAAGTCTGGCCTGACTAGTGCAATGTGCATCTGAGCCACATGGGGGCGCCCCAGGATAGGCTACCAGCCACGTGGGCTCCAGGTAAAGTGGTGCAGGTGAGCTGGCTGCTCTGAGGGCAGCTGGCCACCCCTGTGGCCTGGGAGCAGCTGCCTGGGCTGGCTGGCCATCTGCCCTTCTGTCTCAGCCAGACCAGGACCCCTCACTCAACAACCCAGGCTGGCTGGGCTGATCCCACAGGGCAGGGGTTCCTTGCTAAGGGATGCTGGAATGGAACTGTGCTTCTTTCTTGTTTCCCCTTTGGCCCAGAACGTCCCTGCCTGCTTCTCTGGGGAGAGAGTGAAGCACTTCTGCTCCTAGGGCTGACTCGCTCTTTCCAGGTTACCCCAGACATTCCTTTTCTCGTGCTCTGCAGGTGGAACAGGCCTGGAGTCAGCCTCCCACTAGCAGAGGAGAAAACTGAGGCCCAGAGAGGGCCAGGGCCTTGCCCACAGCCACACAGCACATTAGTGCGATGGCCGAGACTTCACTCGGGGTCTCCTGGCTCTCAGCTAGGGTGCAGATATCACGCAGACCTGCTAAGTGGCCACTTGTTGTCACGGAGAAAGCTCTTAAAGCCAGGCCCCCTGTTCTGCTGACAGAGGACTGACCTGGAGCAGGTGGGGCAGAAAAGCAGGTGGCAGATAGAGTCCTGTCTGAGCTCTGCAAAGTCTCCGTGGCAGTACAGAGTCTGCTACTGGTCTTCGCAGGTGCTGTTCCCTCGGCCTAAAACCCCTTTCCTCCCCAGATCTCTGTGAAGATGTCATCTCTGGGAAGCCTGCCTGGACCCCCACCTCCCCTGCCCACCTGCCACCATCCCCCTGATAGCATGAGCAGGCTGTAGTTTCAGGTTTATCTGGGGCTCATCGGCATAGAAAGGTGGGAGGCATCAGCTTCAGGGGGTTCTGCTGGCTGCTGCACTGGGTCCCTGCACAGAGGTGCAGCGCCAGGCCAGCAGGTGCCTCGAAATGCCTTTGTTATGATGGCGTGATCCCCTCAGCTCACCTCTCATTCGATCCTCCTGAGCAGTGCCAGGCCCCTCCCAAGAGCTGGCTCTTGGAAGCAAAGAAAGGGGCAGGGTCTAAAGGGTCTCTGGGCCCCTCTGCTTGTGAGCTGCTGCAGCCGGGATGTGAAAAGCTTTAGCAGGGTGCTGTGCTCGGCCAGGGCCAGCCCCCACCTGTGATTGGGCACGAAGAGCCGGAAGTCGCGGATGTGGGTGGCATCTTTTGACAGGATGATGTGGCCGGTGAACTGGCCCGGGGAGAACCAGAAGGGGAAGTCAGGGGGCTCACTGAGCTGGAACTCGGCGTGGATCCTGCGGGAATGGGGCCAGTTAAGCCAAAGCCCGCATCCCTCTGCCCCCAACCTGCCCAGACTGTGTGAGGAGAAGACAGGACAGGAGGACGGGGGTGGAGGGGTCGGGGGTGGCGTGTGGGGCAGGGGGAAGGTGTGGTCCCACAAGAGCAGCCATGTCTGGGGCTCCGTGGGCATGCTGTCTTCTCAGGAGGCCCTGCCTTGACCCACCCCAACCTCCCACAGCTCTCCAGGCTTCCAGCCCCAGGCTAAGCAAGTTCCAGACCTTTCTCACCCAGTCCTCCTGTGCCCTTTGACAGCCTTCGGTAACTTGATGCACACAGGCTGGCTGGAGGCTCAGAGAGCCTGAGGCACAGGGTGGGAGTGGCGGAGCTGGGGCTTCAGGCAGGCCCTCCCTCGCCTGCGCTGCACCTCCCCAGCTGCCTTTGAAGTCCCTGGCCACTTTGAGGACCACTCACCGGAACATCACAGTGTAGTAGGAGTCGCTGATGGCGGTCAGGCAGGCCACGGCCCCCTGGGGGGCAAAGCGGGTCTTCACGAAGGGCCGAGGGTGGAACATGCTCAGGAGCCGGTGGATGATGACCTGGGGGACACAGTGGGGATGAGGCTACCTGGCTAGGCTCTCTGGGCCTGAACCTGCTGGGAGAGGCCAGTCCTGGGCTCGGGCGACATAGGGAAAGGTCCAGAGGGAGGCAGGAGAGCAGGTGGGCCAGGCCTGCACCGGGGGCCAGGTGCACATGGGGAGGGGGCTGCTTCTGGGTGGGAGACCCGGGTCTCGAGTGGCCGTCCTTACCTCCTTGCCCTTGGGCGGTGGCGGGTAGAAGCGGTTGTTGGACAGATAGCCGGTGAAGACACTCAGCTCACTGGGGATGATCCACCAGGGCTCGCCCAGCTCCTGGCCTTGAGGGGGAAGAAAGGGCCGGAAGTGGCGGGCGGCAAACACTGCACTTGGTGAGGCTGCAGTCGTCCAGTTGCGGAGGCCGGACAGGGCGAGGCGGGAGACCTGGGGCAGGGAAAGCCCGGGCTCTGGGGCACTGAGGACCATGGCTCTGGGGTGCCTGTCCCACCTGGGGGTGCAGGTCTCCCTCAAACCTTGCACCAGACCACAGGCCAACAGAGGAAGGAGAACCCAGGGGGGACTCTGCCTTGATGACAGCCATCAGCTTGGCCCTGTCCTGACCAAGATGAGAAAGGCTCATCTCACCCTCGTGGGCCCCAGCAGGAGAAGCAATGGCCCCATGGCCCACCCAGGCCCAGGCCAAGCCAGTGCAGCGCGGTCAAGGACGGGGAGCTGTGAGAGCTGGAGGGGCCGTCCAGGACAGGAGGATGGGGGTGACTAAGATCGGGGTCCCACACAGATCCCACCCCATCCTCTGCATGGACCAAACCGAGCTGCCAGCACCTGCTCCAGGTCACACGGGTGCTCCGAGTCTGGCTCTAATTCCCAGGCCCTCACAGGGGCTAATGTCCCACTGACAGAATTTGCGTTTGGTGCTGAGGCTGATGGTAGAAGTGGGTGAGCATCTAATGGGTAAAACTCGAGTCAAAAGCAGGATGAGGCCACAGGGAAGGGGAAGGAGGTCACACCCAGAAGGGGCCCCACCTCAGATGTCACCTTCCTCCTCCGGGCTGGGCACCCTCCACAAGGCCTTCCCTAGGCCCATTTCCTCTGAGCCCGTGGTAGGAAGGAAGCGGGGTGCGAAATCACAGAGCTGGCTACATAGTGCCTGGCGCTCAGAGAAGGGCCCCTGGGGCAGAAGGGCCCCTGGGAATAACCCCACCACTCATAGCTGCCCCCTGTCCTCCTGGGGTATAGGCAGGAGCTGCGTCCCTCCCAAGCATCAGCCAGCAGGACAGTGGGCGCCTGGGGCCCGCAGGGGAGCTTAGCCACCAGGAAGCTGCCCTTTCTTTGATGAATAGGCCCCCTCTCTCTTTTGCACCTCCACAGGGGCAGGAGCCAGGCTCAGTGGGAGGTGGCGGAGGGAGGAGGGAGGTGTGAGGAGCTCCCACCTGGAGGGAATTAGCAGGCAGGTCTACAAAGCCGGGCTGGGCTTGTAGGGAGGCTGACCATCCCCCGGGAGCTGGGAGCTATAGGGAGCTGTGGGGGAAGGTGCTTTCTGCCCTGCTCCATCTCCTCTGGGAGTGCAGGGGTGGCCCAGGTGCCTGTCCCACCCCTTTCTCACCACCCTACTAGAAAGGCCCAGCACAACAAGTCCACCTCCACCCCAGATCTTTCTGTGGGAGATCAAACCTGAGCTTCCAACAATTTCTAACCCCCACACGCACCCCAGCCGCTGGCATCTCAACTTCAGGTGTCCAGACTGGTGTCACCGCCCCCCAGCACACACCCCGGATGCACTCCTTCCTACAGTCACCTGGGCCAGCGGCCACCATGCACTGGCCGCCCGCTGGCAGCCTGCATCCTTCCCCTCTTCCCCACAGTGGCCCCACCCGGCCCTTCCGCTCCCAGCATCCTCCAGGCTGCGCTTGCTCTGTGTTCCTGGCCTCCTCCCACCCTGGAAACTGGTCTGCTGGTTCCCATCTCTCTCTGGCCTACCCATGCCCCTTGCCCATGCAGCCCGGAGAGCGCAAATCTGACGTGGGCACTCTTCTTTCAAAGTTGGCTGGGGTGTTCTGCAGTGGCACAGGAAGCCAAAGTCAGCCACCAGACCTCAACCGTTTGGCAAGTTCTCTCGCAGCCGCACTGACCAGGACGGCCCTGCACGTGCCCCGGTCCGGCCCCACCAGCCTGCTGGCCGTGGCCCATCGGCCTGCTGTGTCTGCCTTCAGGCTTCTGCTTGTGTCGAGGTGGCATTTCGGCTGTGTAGGTGTGGGCTGGGCACAGAAAAAAGTGGTCCTTGGCAGAGGGAACAGCAATGAGAAGGCTCACAGCATACAAGAAAGCCTGGAGACGTGGAAGGGAGGACGGCTGGCATGAAGGAAGTGGAGTGGGTAGGAGAGAGGGTACAGGGTGGGCAGGGTCAGGGGTGGTTTTAGCCCGGGGTGTGCTCAGACCACGTCCACAGGGCCTCGGAGGCTAGTGACCCTAGCCCGCATCTGCCGCCTCCTCCTCAGCCCTCTCCCTGTGGCAGGAGCTGAACCTCACTAGTTCCAGTTCAACAGAGACCTGCTAGAGCCCGGAGAGAGATGGCTGCACAGGTATCACTGTGAGCGGGGCAGCTGCCTTGCCAGGGCTGGACTCACCCCTGCCCCTCCCCCGCCCCTGCAGTCCCCTCTGCCAGATACGGCTCCCTCCAGGAAGCCGGCCAGCCTCCTGCACCTGGAGGAGGGGCACATGCTTCTCTCCACGACCCACTGCTCTGCGGACCTGGACGACAGGGACACACCATGCTCTTGGACTCTGGCATCTGGCACAGCGGCACACAGAAGGCAGCTGGCAGGGGAAGGAAAGACGCGAGCACAGTCCCATCCTCAGGATGGAGCACACCAGTCTTGCCTGCCTGTGAGGCCCACCCCTGTCCCTACTCACCCCTAGGAACCCATCCTTGCTCTTCGTCATGGTCTCCGGGAGCAGAGGCTGGAATCGGGCTTCTATGGTGAGGGTCTCTTCACTGGGGTCGGTGAGCAGCTCCTCCTCCTCATAGCTGGCTGCAGGTGTTGACCCTGGGAGATACAGATGCTGCAAGGCCCTGCCCTTGGGCTGCAGGCCCTCACTTCTCTCACAGGGCCCCACTGGCTGGTGTTAAGAGAGCCGGGCTCAGAGATGGGATAACAGTTAACAATCACCAGAGCAACAAGCAACGCGTATTGCATTATAGTTACACAATAGCCCTGGGAGGAAGATGATAACATTATTACTAACTCTATTTTATACAAGAGAAAGTGGAGGCTCAGCGTCACTTCCCCAGGGTCACACAGCCATGTAGCAGGGGAGTCAGCAGCGAAACCCAGGCCTGATTTGTGCTAAACCTCCAATCAGTCATGACCCTCTTCTGGGTCTTGGGGGACCGTGAGGGACTCAGTCAAGGGAAATGGAGTGAAGAACGAAAGCAAGAAAGAGAAGCAGGCGTTTTGGTGTCGCTGAAAGAGCACTGGTGTGGAGGGACGAGACCTGCTTCTCCTTGTTCTCCTGGTGACCTGGGTCCCTTCTGTATAAGGAGGGCTGGGCTGCCAGGGGCTACAGCTGATTTCTCCTGCTCAGGGAACTGCCAAGTGTGTCCTCTTTCTAGTGTGGAGGGCGGTGCTCAAGGGAGAAGGGATGCCTATTTCAAAAGGGATGCCTAAGAGACCCCTGTGTCAGTGAAGCAGGTGGGGCTCATCCCATGTGCTCTCTGAGGGCAGGTCCAAGCCACAGAGTCCTGCCCGGCACTTGGTGGCCACGGGAGGCTGTAAGAGTGCAGGCTGAATGGATGCATGCAAAGCAGCTCTCAGTTAGGAGTCATCTGAAGCACCGAGGACGCTCTTCAAATGCAGATGGTCTGATCCCATCCGGGAATCTACTGAGTGAGGACCTGAAGGAGCGGGAATCAGGAAACTGCCCAGCCACTCTGGATGCAAATCCCTGTTCTAAAACTCACTATTACTTCTGTATTTGTAAGTCAGTGCAGTCAAACATTCTCAGTGATCTGGAAACTTGACCAGAAGGGGGCAAAAAGAAAATGTAGGGTTATTAGTCTGCTTTGCTCATTCAGTTATTTTCCTATATCACAGGTAATCATGAAGAATAATACTCAGGTTAGCCAGGTGCAACGGAGTATGTGCCTATAGTCCCAACTACTTGGGAGGCTGAGGCAGGAGGATCACTTGAGCCCAGGAGATTCAGGCTAGCCTGGGCAACATAATGAGAACTCATCTTTTAAAAACAGAAAAGG